ATAATTATTGCGAGTGTTTATTTACTTGACCATATTTTTTAATTTAATTATATGTCTACGAAATTTAAAACTGGAAAGTAGCATTCTTTTTTAATTAAATCCTTTTAATCTATTGATTTTATTTTGATGAAATCAATCATGAATAGATCCCGGTCAACCAAACCCTATTGACCCAGTTGCACCAACCAATCAGAAAGGGAAGGCGTCTGTTAGCAAGGTTGTATGAGCGCGCAGGATGCGTTCAAAATAAGAGATTGCATTTTCAGATTTTGGGTTTAAATGACTTATTTCAGTCGTGAAAAGTGGTATTCGTGATCAAACGGCATTACTATCATTTGACAGCTTGTTATTCTGACTATAAAGTAGCATGAAAAGTATTTATATCTACTGTTATATACAAAATTATGCTTTATTTTGGCACTTCCTCCTGAAAAATGTACTTCCAACCCTGGCGTAACTGACAGTTTTTATATCAACGGAGCTCCTGCTATCTCTGCTACACTCCAAACACAAAATAGCAATGACAAGAAAATCAATGAAAGCTGTCAATGCCGTCGAAGCGGCTGTCTCGGTTTGATTAGTGGGTTACCGCTGATTGTATCGCCACATTATGCTCATTTGGACACCGAGAGCTGTCGGCTTTCACACACACAGGCGGAGCGTTCAGCCGTCAAGTCGCTGGTAATGTATTTATCCACCGCATATGTGTGATTTTCACTCACTAACGGACGTGTCGTGATGAACGCGGAGGCCCTTCGGCGTTACTGAGAATGCCAACCGCATGACAGCGTGTTATTGTGTAGCTTCGTTGAAAAAGCAAATTGCTGGCCTGAAAGTGCAGCAATGGCTTCGGCGCTGAGTTGCTTCAGCGGTCCTGAGGTGCTGGAGGACGGGAATCACGCCCGGGGTTTGATGAACGAGCTGAAGCTGCTGTACGAGTGCCGGCTTCTGGGCGACGTTACTATCGGAGTGGAGTGTGAAGAGGAGTCCCTGGAGCCCAACGGGACCGGAGGAGGAGGAGGAGGAAGAGGAGGCGGTGACATTGACCAACTTTTCCTGTGCAGCCGCAACGTCCTCGCCGCCGCCAGTCCGTACTTCAAAAGCATGTTCACCGGAGGCTTGAACGAGAGCGTGCAGGAGAGAGTGGTCATCCGCGGCGTGGACTCCGAGTCCATGTCGGTCATCATCGATTACTGCTACACGGGCAGGGTGACCATCACGGAGAGCAACGTCCAGAGGCTGTACGCTGCGGCCAACATGCTTCAGCTGGAGTACATCAGGAAAGCTTGCTCCAGTTTCATGACGAGGAGGCTGGATCTGTCCAACTGTGTGGGGATACTGAAATTTGCAGACACTTATGACAACCCTGAACTGAAGGAGAATGCACAAGCTTTCATAGCCAGGAACTTTAGCCAAGTGTGCATCGGAGGGGAGCTTTGTGAACTGGACTTGCTGCAGTTGAAGGAGCTGCTATCTTTGGATACTCTTGATGTGGACTGTGAGAAGAAGGTGTGTTCCGCTGCCTTACAGTGGATAGAGGCGAATGCACCGCAGAAAAAAGAGGATGCATTGCAAGCACTGAAGTGTGTGCGCTGGAATTTGTTCACTGAAAAGGACAAGTGTTACCTGGAGAGCCTCATGGCCAGGCCTTTAACTGAGAAATACCTGGCGTCGTTTTTTAACAGGTCTGCAGAGGACAGCTGTGGAATGTGTCCAACTCTGGATGTACCGAAACACAGAATAGGCGTAAGTGCAAAAGAAATGATTCTCTTCTTTGGGCTACCCAACGACAATATAATGTGCTGCGACCCTTACTCAGAGGATCTGTATTTCATGGCGCCTCCTTTGGAAGACCTCAGCAGTCAGGATTACAAACGCTCCACCATGGAGTCATTAATCGCCTGTGCCACACCTGAAAACAACCTGTATCTCGCATCCCACCTCTCTAAACACTTCTGGCTGTATAACCCTGTGCTCAACAGCTGGCAGGAGTTGGCAGAGAGGCCACTGGGGAGGATACACTCTGGGATGGGCTACCTCAACGGGCATGTTTACCTTCTGGGAGGAAGAAATCCAGTGACGGATGCCAGGCTGAAGGAGGTTGAGTGTTACAGCGTGCAGAGGAACCAGTGGACGTTTGTGGCTCCTCTGCCTCACTCTTTGGGTAAAATGCAGGTGGTGGCGCTAAATGACCACTTGTATGTGGTGAACAAAAGGAGAATGCTTTGCTATGATCCCAAGAGGAACCGCTGGCGCCACTGTGGGTCACTCAGAAGGGACAAGCTTCACAAGGCCTGTGTGTTTCAGGACCAGATCATCTGCGTGTGCGACATCCCCGTGGTGAAAGCCTACAGCCCCACCAGGGGGGAGTGGAAGAGGTTGGGTGACATACCTATAGACAGCCGAGCTCTGAACTACCAGGTGATCCAACACAACAACAAGTTGCTCCTCCTCACTCAGACTTTACTGCAGCACAACAAGAACAGAGTCCTCATCCACGAGTATGACCCAGCTAGAGACACATGGAAGAATGTCATGGCGGTGTATGTGTCCACTCTGGGACCCGTGTGTGTTTCAACACGCGTGTACCCGGCGTGCCTCGGCTCCGCTCACAGCTTCTCCACAGAGGAAGACGATGACAGTGGCTCCAGTGCCGACTGGGACTTTGATGGCTTGACCGATGCAGACTCAGACTCTGGCAGCTCTAGCTCTTTCTCAGATGAGAACTGGTAGTGAAAGGTGTTACTGTGTCAAAGAAAAGTTTAACTTATTTATAATGAATGGATTTTTACAGGGTGGTTTTGTCTGCCGGGGGGAGGGGGTATGACAGTATTAATTCAGTATTAAAGCAGTCAGATACATTAGAAGCACAAACTGATCATAAGTGGACATCTTTACATGTTTTATTTTGTGTTTCTTCGCAAGTTTGGATAATGATTGTTTGCCAGAGAAGAAGTGAAACAAAATTGAGTTGGTTGCAGTGATTTTTTTTTTTTTTAATTTTATTGCATTATGTACAAATGCTAAGGCTTTGTTCTTCAAGGACATGCTCAAGTTAGCATGAACCCATGTTTACACACTAACTCAAGAGTAAGTAATGGGTTCCCCTATAGAGTGGAGGATCTGTCTTTGTAATGTAGCCCATCGTTAAGGCAGCTGAATGAAGGATGCTACGGAGATGTAGTATTAAACTTCAGTACAATTAGAAGAACTCACAATGACCCGATTAAAGAGGCCACACTATGCTGTTTGGGGGTTCTCTTTCTTTTAATGTGTTTTGTAAAAGGTCTGCAGACTTTTAAATCCCAAAGTCCACACCTGAAAAGCTTCTTACCTGTCTGAAGCACCTCACTTGTAGTCCAGGTATTTTTTTTTGTTACTTATCACATTATAACACATTAATGCCTGTCTGTTGGCTAGTTTAGTGCTCCCTTGAAGAAAGAATGAGTGACTTCCTCGCAGTCCACTTTTATTTCCTCACCAGGGCTGACTTCTGCTCGGGCTACACGCACACATATTTCTGGTGTTGCCTGGCTTTGGTCAGGCCAGCTGACCAATCAGAGCAGCAGACTGGACTATTTGGGAAGTGAGCCTTAAAGAGACAGGACTGAAAACTGAGTGTTTCAGATAAAAGTTAGGAAGCGGTGTGGCAGCAATGTATGGTATGAGAAAAATGATGGGTTTTTTGAACACTAAAATATGTAAACATATTCTAGTAGACCAAAAAAACAAACTACAAAACCTGTAAATGTGCATAATATGGGCTCTTTAACAAAGCATGGATAAAATTTTGTCTGTTATGTCCTGATTAATGCAGTGATTTCCAAACTGAATCTCTGCAGAGGTTGGTACTAGATTTGGTTTTTGAAACGACTACCCACTGACCTAACCTCCCCTAACAACCACTTACGGCAGAGCAATCCTCCCAACACATCCCTTCAGCTTATGCAGCTAGCACCGGCAGAATGGCTGCATAAAACCTGAGAAGAAAGTGTTTTCATGTAACCTTGTCATTGCAGTGACAACTTGTGAAACACACGTTACTAATAAGACAATTAACTGCTGCATTGCTTTAATAACTGCTGAAACTGAGCCATCCTTAAATTTTATTACTCCCGTGTGTGCTTTTCCTGCTTTCACAAATCTGATGTTAAAAAAAAAAAAGTACGTCTGTGAATTTGACGCAGCGCTATCAAGAAACACGAGTCAAATCCAAAATACTAAAATGCTTGTAATGCTTTTTGGTTCGCTATAGAACTAGCAGGAGAACTTTATATCTTGTGTGTGACACCTGAAGTTGGCATGGCAGAAACAATTTGAGAACCAATGCCATAATGCTTTGGTGACGTCAATTTATTTTGACTTGACGCAGCTCCACCAGAGCTACAGAAGACTATACGTAAAGCAATTTGCACATGCCGAATAGTACTCCCCCTGACTCAAAAATCGACATGTGGAGGGCCCTTTAATGCTTTAACTGTGCTGTGTTTTATATATATATATATATAAGTTTGTGACTGAAATATTTGCTGTTAGCACGTTGTTTATCTTGAATAAGCGAGCACGCTCGCTTAAGATTGGCGGAAAATAATGACTTGGATGTTCAGGACATCAGGCAGCTCAAGTGCCTCATGTTTATGACTTCAAACACAACTCGTCATAAACGAGGCTTTAAAAAATTTATGATCCTTTTTATGTTGTTGATGCACATCGAGACGTCTCACACACAGCCGGTTTGTGAAACCTACTGTATGAAATCTAGAAGCCAATGTACTGTACGCTCACTCAGGTTTAGGCTTCAGCAAAAGCCTGTTTGCCATGATAAATGATTTCTTTTTGGATGTAGTGAAATTAGGTTGTTTTGGTGACAAATAATAGATTTATTAAATTTATTTGAAATTATTGAGTGTATGTATGTGTTTTCTTATCTATGATATTATGTTCCAACAAGAAATTCAGTGTTTTGTTTGGTCCTGATGAATTTTTTTACTTGAGGATGATTTGTCTGCATGTCACGAAAACTGTTGAGAAGCCATTGTCCTCACCAAGCACCTCCTGCACTCATTTATCAGTTTATTTGCTGTGTCGAAACACACACACAAGCTGATACAAATGTTGTCGACAGAATATTAGACACACCTCTCAGTATAGTGCAAAACCACAAACAGTTCCCAATATGACCATAAAGTGGAAACAACCCCTCTGACAACACTGAACCTCCGTCATAGGTGGTAAAAACCGTATTAATTTCATTTGGACGTGCCTATTAAACTGGTAAATGAGTGGATGTTGTCTCTCTGTATGATGGATAGATGAAGTCTTGTGTTTGTGTGAGAGAAGTAAAGTGAGGGGGTTATTGGTTTGGGTATATAAAGCTGTCTGTGGTGTATGTGTCAAAATAAACATCCGTGTCTGATGCAGAAGTGCCATTGTGTGTATTGTTGGGGTTTTTTTCACAAAAGTATGTTGCATTACCCTACATGTTCCTGCAGTTGTATTGTGTAGTGTAGCTGGCTTGTGTTCGCCCCAGTATGGAACATTTGATCGATGTAAATGTATGCTAATTTTGAGTGTGCAGGTACGAGGCGGCGATTACTGGATCAACTGCAGGCAAGAAATAAGGAAACCAATCCTGGTCAGGAGTTCACACATACCAATTTGCATTTCGCAACAGTAAAAGATTAAGCAGGGATTTTGTCAACAAACTACATCTGTCTAATGAAGGGTGTGAATGATTTCACTTACCAAATTGAAAAACCTATTAAGTTACTAAGCAGTCAGTACCTTTTTTTTGTTGCAGATATTGTATTTTGGTTGGGTTAGGTCTTTGTTATTTTCTTTATGTAGATTTGTTTGATGGCCTTTGTTTTCCCTGAAGGCAAATCCAACTCCATGGACCTGTAAATATATTGAATAAATATATTTCTTATCAACTCTGAACAATCTGTTTGTGTTGCTGCTTATTCTTTTCATATTGTGTCTCAGCCACCCCTATACGGGGCATAACGATGTTGAAACTGAATGTAGCTACAGCAGCATAGATAGGAGGATCATGCCCTTGCATTAGCAGCACCACAGCTTTTGTATGGTTTTCCCCTTTCAATCAAATGTTCCTCCTCCATTAACACTTTTAAGAAAAAAATGTACATGCCTTCAGTGGCTTTTTCTTGCGATTTATCTGGTTTTGTGTGTTTAGCAGTTATTACATTTACTCTTTCTTTTTTTTGCACACATTCTTGTTGTTGCTTCTCCAGATTTAGTGTAAATGAAGGATGGAAAATATAATTTCAAAATACTTTGTTTTGCATATTCCCAACGTGTGGAATAGGAAGAGAAAAAATCATTTGCAGTACGATAAATGAACACACAATGCCGACTATATTATTTTAGTCAGACATTGATTTTGAGGAAACTGACATAAATTTGTTCATAAACGTACAATGTGTTGGGGTTTGTTTGTTTATATTTGTATTATTTGAAGCTGCATATATGTATTTAATTTCCATTGTTAGGGATCTCATTGGTTACTATTTGTAAGCTGTGCAAATTAGTTTGAGCTCAGCTGTTAATCACACATGCACATACTTTACAGTTTGTTGAGGAGCATGTCTGTATGCAACAAATAATATATGAAAAATAAAATACATTTTAAAAATAGAACTTAAAAAACAGGAAGACAGCAAGTAATTTCTTCTTAGGGTTTTTTTTCTTCTCAATTATACTATATTTCTAGTTATTTTAGGAACTTGTTAGGTTTTTACTGTTCACTCATTCAAGAAAACAGACAAATAAGTTTGGGAATCAAAAAAAAAGGTATGCAAATGAAGAAATTTACCAATAAACCAGAATAAAAAATACCAACATATTCTACAAATGTAGATGTTTTTTTCTTACTTATGCTAATTAACAATAGGTTTAAAAAAAAAAGTGTATACATACACCCATGCAAAATAAATAAATAAAAAGGGTAATGTTAAAGTAATGCATAATTCAGAATGAAATATCATAAGATATTTGTTGAAAATATTTTTTGTGTCTTTTTTCTCTTCAGGTCATTATTCCTTTTTATGAACACGATTTTTTTTTCCAAAAATGAAATAAGCTGTACAAAAAAAAAAAAACAAGAACATTTTTGCCTTTTGTCTTTATTTTCAAAACAGGGTTAAAATTTATTTCAATTCATTTTATCCTGGAATTGAATTGTTTGCCAAGTTTTCTTTCTTACCTATTATTTAACATCCACACAAAATTTTTACAAATATATTAACTTGATCCAAGAAACGACAGTTTATTTCTTCCTGTGGTCCACAAACGTTACAATAATATTCAATAATCAATCCAACGGTGCAACAATGAAGCACAAACCGGTGACATCTAGTGGAGGCTTCTTATAGTCTCGCGATATTTCCGCGTCGTAACATCATCCAGACAGCGAGAAGATGAGCAATGGCAATAGAAAACAAACCTGGGGAGGAATTTGACACAGTTTTCAGTCGAAATGACTCCTTGGAGCTCTCCTCTCATCACGACCACGACCCTTCGCACGCTCGGATATTTAAGATCATAGTTATCGGAGATTCAAACGTGGGGAAGACGTGTCTGACTTACCGGTTCTGCGGGGGCACTTTCCTGAAGAACCCAGAGGCAACTATCGGGGTCGATTTCAGAGAGAGGACGGTGGAGCTGGATGGAGAGAGTATCAAGGTGAGAGGATCCACGACAAACACACAAACACCCATTGCTACTTCAGTCTGTTTTTCTGGAAATATATACTGCCATTTGTGTAAGTTTATCAGCTGGAGTCTGCTGTCAGACTATGAGCATGAGACAAAACGTCGGCCTACCTATTTAGAATGACCAGCATCTCCCAATAAGATATAGAGTCACCACATAGGCCAAGAATGAAAGCTATGCACGCATACATGTCTGTGGATTTACTTGCAATAATATCATATTTAGAAAGTTTACCTGATTCCCTCACAGTGTTCCTAAGATAAAATAACCCGAATCTTTATTATATATAAATTATTCTCCCAGGTACAGCAATAAGTGACACTGACAATGAGATTAAAATGAAATATTGCACAGGAAATTTAATAATGACACATGGTAAAGAAAAATTACAAATGAAACTGAAACCTTACACATGAAATTGAAATATTGTACCTGGAAAATGAAATACTGCACATGACATTAAATTATTGACCATGAAAATTTTGCAAGATGCTGAATGATACTTGATTTAGAGAGACGAGCGTTGGATGGGAAATTTAGGAGAGAATATGTTTTGTGTGATGCCAATTTATTATATTTCATAGTAGTTTCACTTCTTGCATCAGTCCCTATGTGTTTCTGTGGTTTGTTATTTATGTGCTGCCTTTTTTTCCTGCAGTCAGAGTCTGTCACGGCCTTTTAAACCGCTGGCAGCTGGAGTGAATAACATTGATTATCTTGTCACAGTGGCACCTGTCAGTACATGGTACAAGTTAGGCAGCAAGGTAGCAGTTAGTTCTTGAAGTTGATGTGTTGGAAGCAGAAGAATGGGCAAGAATAAGAGTCTGAGTGACTTCCATTCATCCATCCATTATCTATACACCGCTTAGTCCTCATTAGGGTCGCAGGGGGGCTGGAGCCTATCCCAGCTGACTTAGGGCGAAGGCAGGGGACACCCTGGACAGGTCACCAGTCTATCACAGGGCCACATTTAGAGACAGACAACCAAGCACACTCACATTCACACCTACGGACAATTTAGAATCATCAATTAACCTCAACATGTTTTAGTGTGGGAGGAAGCGGGAGAACCTAGAGAGAACCCATGCTGCACGAGAAGAACATGCAAACTCCACGCAGAAAGATCCCGGCGTCCCCACTGGGACACAAACCAGCGACCTTCTTGCTGCGAGGCAACGGTGCTAAGCACCAACCACCTTGCAGCCCATCTGAGTGACTTGTAAGGGCTAAATTGTGATAGCTAGACTGGGTCAGGCCGTCTCCTAAACAGCAGATGCTGTGGGGTGTTTCTGGTGTGCAGTGGTTAGTACCTACCAGAAGTGGTCCAAGAAAGGACCCAAAGACCACTGATTCAGGAGTGAAGGCTGTCCTATGTGGTCTGATGCCACATAAGAACCACTGTAGCCAGTCAGAGTGTCCATGATGAACCCTGTCCACCACCAAAAGTGCCTGTGATAGGCATGTGAGGGTCAGAACTAAACAGTGGGGCAATGAAAGAACATGGCCTGATCTGATGAATCACATTTTCTTTTATGTGATGTGGGGATTAGATGGCAGCAGGATGCACTATGAAGAAGAAGCAGTGGTCTTCTGGGAATCCTTGAATCTGGCATTCATTTTTATTTTGCTCGACACGTACCACTTACCTTAACATTGCTGTCCAGTGGCTTCTTTCAGCAGCATAATTCTCACTCACACTGCAGAAATCCTTCAGGAATAGTTTGAGGAACATGATAAACATTTTAAGGTGACGATTTGTGCAACAAATTTCAAATTCAGTCGAGCATCTGATATCACAGGAAACCTTCAGAGGCCTTGATAGTCAATACCGAGGCAGACCTCTACAGTATTATTCAATATTTGTAGCTGGTTGGTGTGTTTTGCTTGTCATCACAGAAAAAGCACAGACAAAAAAACACATTTTTTACCCTTTCCTCCCTTACATTAAGTGTCCCAGTAAGCTTTCACAGTAACAGCTCAACCAAATGAAATGCAGTTATTTTTAATGCTTCCAATTACACCTGTGCTTTTCTTGCGACGTCAAGCCAAAATGATCAGTTGTCACAAAAGTCTTTTAAAGCCAGCGCCGCTCTCCCAAAAGCCCTTTTCACAGCAGACGTTCTGACTAGTCGGAGCAAAAACACCACAGCTGTTATTAATAATGTTAACGTCGGCTCTTACTATTATATGTCCCAGTAATGACAGTGTGGAAATGAGCCATCAGGCGCAGCAGCAGGATGCTCGAACTGAAGCAGCAACGTGGAATTCAGTCATCGTTAACTTAATCATTTGCACCTCTGCCTCTCCTTCTGTGAAAATGTCAGCTGCAAAAATATCAGTAATACACCTTTTTAAGTTTCACATCCCTTACTTTTGCTTTTTATTTCTTTTGGTCACACGCTTTGCCTGCAACAAACAATGTTCTGTATTTTTCTAATAGTCAAAAAGACCCTGAATACGCAACAGTGAGTTGATGCTATGATGAGTGTATGTCTGTGTAGCCAAAACTCTATATCTCATTTCTGCATATCATATACCATCATAACAACCTGCCTAATATTGTGTAGGCCCACCTTGTACCCCAGAACAGCTCTTACCTGTTGAACCACCGACTCCACAAGACCTCTGAAGGTCTCCTGTACCATCTGGCGCCGGAACTTCAGCAGCAGATCCTTCAAGTGATGATAGTTTGAAAGGTGGGACCTCCATGGATTGGATGTGTTTCCCACAGATGCTGGATCAGATTGAGCTCTGGGTAATTTGAGGCCAACTGAATGGCTTTGAACTGTTTGTCATGTTCTTTAAACGTGGTCCAGACCAATGTTTAGATAAGTGGTACATGTCAAGGTACCATCCACATGAATGCCAGGACCTAGAGTTTCCCGGCAGAACGTTGCCCAGAGCATCACACTGCCTCCACCAACTTGCCTTCTTCCCACAGTGAATCCTGCTCAGCCATTGTTTCTGACACCTACATTGTTGTCCAAAAGCTATTAAAGAATAATGGGTCAGACATCTGCTCTGGTTCCTTTATTGTGATCTTCACAGTGACTTGATTTTGAGTAAATCCCACACATGCTGTCCTGGTGTCATGAATACTCATTCACGCACCAAATGTGTGTTACCATGCAGCTAAAAACACTCTAACAAAATGTACTATTTGTTCCAAAACACTACAGTTCACTATTTAGCCTATTCTAAAAAGGAAAGTAGATATATCTGTGTGCAGTTTTCAAAGATTTAGATCTTTAGCAGAAAAAATAATAATCTTGGAACTTAGCAGCACAAACAAAACAGGGAATTTGGAAGATGGGTTTCAACATTGCATTAACGTTTTCTCCTGTGAGATCTGTCAGTAAAAACAAAGAACGAAACAAAAACACACTGGCCTTATTCTTGTAGAAAGCTCATCATCAATATATGTTTCTTCTGTTCCAGCTGCAGATTTGGGACACAGCAGGTCAGGAGCGTTTCAGGAAGAGCATGGTGGAGCACTACTACCGCAGCGTTCACGCCGTCATCTTCGTGTACGACGTGACCAGCCTCTCCTCCTTCAAGAGCCTCCCCGAGTGGATTGAAGAGTGCAGCCGACACTCTGTGGGGCCGCTGGTGCCTCGCATCATGGTGGGCAACAAGTGCGACCTGAGGGACCGCCGGGAGGTCCCCACATCGGCTGCACAGTGTCTTGCTGACAGCTACAACTTCCCACTGTTTGAGACTTCAGCCAAGGATCCTGCTGAGAAGGAACATGTCGATGCTATCTTTCTGACTTTGGCTTACAGGCTGAAGAGCCACAAACCACTGAGACTAAAGCAGCCGAGTCAGAACGATGTCAGGCATCTGTGGAACCAGAGAGAGCAGGGATCAGCAACTTGTCAGTGCTGAGGTCACTTAAATACTATATCTGTGTACTCATTGTGTATGGAGGCCACTGAAGCCTTCAGGAGTAATAATGGTGCTGAGAAAAGCACTGTTGAACAGAGCTTTCTATCAGTAAGACTAAACTGAGAAAGCCCTCTTATGTTTGTAGGATAGACAGGACAGAAGCTTCCTATTTTACAGTTTTCCCTGTCAGATATAAGGCCCAGCTAGTGACAGGATTGGCCTTTAAGTTTGCACATTATTGAATTTCAATGAAATGCATGAATGGATGTGAAGGTATGCCGAGTATTTGTAGCTTAAACTGCACATAAAATCACTTTGAGTCAGCAAACGGAGCATTGCAGTGTGCACTTTGCTATATAAGTGATAATCACTGATATGCAACTATGGACAGCGCAGCAGCATTACAGCACTATAATGTATCTACAGAACTCAACGCAGGCAGTGAGTTGAAGGGAAATTGATTTCTGTGTGTGTGTAAAGGGACCAATAAGATACACTGAAACTGTGAAAACGAATGCAATCATTTTCTTAAAGTGATATTTTTGTTCTTTAAAAAATATAACCTCTATATGCAGCGTGAGGTTTAGTGCTGTGATTGAATGTTTTTGCTCATTTACATACACAGTTCTTTGGAGACAGTCCTGTAAAAACCAACAATACAAGTGACACAATGTAGCTGTCTTTTGAGACAACATGCAAATCCACTTAGCTCACTTGAAAAGCATGGCTGAATTCAAACTCAGTGGTTCATGAAGTTGAGAAAAAAAAGTGAATTATGTTGCATGTGTACAATATGCAAACACTTTGCAATGGTATGGAGGTTTGTGACAATGTAGAGCTGCAAATCAAAATAAAAGACTTTATCTGTATCATAACTTAAATTCTTGAGGTTTCTGGTGTTTTTTGGTGCTATGAGTGTAATGTGGATATAGTTTATGCCGTTTCAGGAAGCTGCTGTGGTCTTCTTGAGTCAACAGTGCTCATTCAGGCAACACACTACATTTCCTTGTGTCTTATTATTATTATTTTGTATGGTCATTCATTCAATTACTGGAAAACAAGTTATTGATTCACTAAATACAGAAAACAGCTGCTTTGATTCATTTTCTTGATAAATTTGTTCAGTTCTTGAACAAAGTCCCTGGTCTTCTTGGTATCAATAGAATTTTGATAATGTATAACCTGTTATTTAGTGCAGCTTTTAAAATCATAATGCAACTAAATACACACAATAAATGGCAAAATAATACATCATTTGATTTGATTGTTTACGGTGTTTTGTGATCAGGCAGAAAAACACTGGCTTCATTCATTCATTCATTCAACTGACAGTGAAAGTTAAACATTTACTGTTTTATTACAACTAGAGTAACTTCATAATGTGCTGTTGGAGATCATGTGATATGATCAAACGTTCCAGAACAGCTTTTAAAAGTGTCTTGATTAAATTAAAAAGAAAAGAAAAACATCACAGTTTGCAACGTTTGACCTCATTTTAGCGACGATCAGTGGCCACTATTTGCATAGCCATAGTTCTGATGATGCGTTGATCATATCACGTAAACTAGCCAATGCTGTAGTTAACAGCTAATCTCGTCGACTGTTTATATATAAAACAAAGCTAATAATGACGTTTATGAACTCGATTAAACCTTTACTTTGTCAGTGAAACTTATTTAAAAGCGAGGCGTTGCTGGACTAATGTAAACTCCGTAAAAGCCAGCTTTATTGACAATCTCAAACGAGGTGCGATTTACGAGGCTGCGACAGGTACGTGAAGGCAGCACGGAGCAGTCTGTATTCTTCACACGGCGTCTCTCTGCGGCCATGGTAACACTTTCCTCAATACTGGACCTCTGATTCAATAAACCGCACAAACAAGCGCTTTTTATGCAGGTATGAGAGTTATTTTCACCTTTGAAATGTGGGTACAAATGTTATCTAAGTTGTCGGTCGGTTGCTGTTGTCTATGTACATATTAACCGCTTCCTGGGAGGATTAAGTAGCGTTTATTTATTCACCCGCGATTCGTTTTGTTTTCAGTCTGTGGCCTAGCAGCAAGCTAGCAAACATGCTAACGTCTGTAACGTTACAGGGAATAGACAAAAAAATTAGCTAAATTAAATTTAACCGTTCATTTAAATGCGAGGTATGCTCTCTGACAGCAACGTGTTCGTTAAATATCACGGTCCCTCACATAAGCTAGCTCAACTATCACGCTTTACCGGGTGGAGCAGCTTCATTACAAGTTATCTGACAGGCGGCTGACTTCCGTTGAGATGCTCCGTCCTGCAATAACAAGTGTTTATGATGAGGAGACCAGGCATGTTGTGAAAAATATGAAATGGCGGTATATTCAAACTAGCTAACATTAGCCACCTTACTGTGCCAATATTCAGTTACTTGTTTTTTTTGTTTTGCTCATCATGTAGCATTTTTTTCCCCCAGCAGCATGAATTTGGCAGAGATATGTGACAACGCCAAGAAGGGTCGTGAGTACGCCCTGCTGGGGAACTATGACTCCTCCATCGTGTACTACCAAGGTGTCATTCAACAGATCCACAAGCACTGTCAGTCTCTCAAAGACCCAGCCCTTAAAGTCAGATGGCAACAGGTGAGTGTCCCCAGGTGTGCTATGATGCTACACCTGTACTTTAATATCCACTGAAAGATTCTGGGACTGCAATTCCTTAATTTAAACTCTGAATACAGACATTTGGAAAGCTCATTTACAGTGCAGCTTAGTAAGAAATTTTAAGATGTATACATACAAATTAGAAACTTGGATAACATTAATAGTGTTAAAAGGCAAACATCACTCTCACTCACCACTGTATTCTTTATGATTTGGTTGGCTGGACATCACTAAGCATTTGTAGACAACAACACTGGTATATGTTCATCTATAAAGCTCTGCTGGGCAAACGCCCAGAATACCTCAACACCCTTGTCACTACCAACTCCAGCAGTTACCATCTGCGTGCCTTAAAGTGTTTGCTTTTAAACGTCCCCTGGATTTTAGCAGATTTTGTTAAAGCGGTGTTCTCCTATCGTGCACCATGGTCATGGAATAACCATCAGAAAACTCTTAAACTAGAAACATTCACATTAGTCAGTGAGTTTAAGAGCATGATAAAGAACAGAGTAAAGGAGGAATGTCACTGGTTTTCTTGAGAGGCCACTGTCTTTAAATAGCTATGGATCTGTTTTATTGTTTTACTGTTCATTGTTCATTTGTCTATCATATATCTGTTTTATATTAATTTTTTGATTTTGTATGGCTGCTACCTTGGCCAGGTCTCCCTTGTAAAATATTTCTTATCTCAATGGGACTTCCTGGTTAAATAAAGGTAAATAAATAAATAAATAAATAAATAATAAAATTACTCAATTAGAAAACTCGATTTACTCTTAGGATAAAACATTAGATTGTTCTGCACAGTACTCCAGGTTGCAGAAGCACAGTGAGCAAACCTGGACTGTTTAAACTCAGTTAAAATATAATCCAATCATTCTAGCTTGAAAGGGCTCACATTAAAAGACACCAAAGAAGTAATTTAGGAGGGTTCAAAAAAACAAAAACAAAAAGCAGTATGCGCCTCATTAATAAATAAGGCCCAGGCCAGTATCTGTCACACATTACAGAGAGTGAGGAACACTCCTCACTGCCATGCAGCTCACAATGATAAGTATTATCATTGTCACTAGTAATAAATCCTATTGCACAGTTACAATCAATGTCAGAAAGCTTAAGGGTCACAGCTGATGCTTGCATGCATTCAATGTCTTTATTAATCTCATACTGATAGGAAAGTTATCTGTTTAAGTAGTTTTCTACAACACAGTGGGAAACGTTGTTTATTACTGTAAAAGAAACTGACTTTTGGGTGAATTTTATTGACCATCATGTGGGACACATTTTGCAATTTCAAACATTCCACACATGTTTCTGTGAATTTTTTGAAACCTTTTTAAAAGCAAGGCATAATCGATTTCACAAAGTTTCTTTCTATCCAAAGCTGTCATTTTTATAATTGATCATTTGGGTGGATAAGATTTGTTTTGATGCCAAGTTATACTGATTTTATTTTGAGGGAAATGATATATATCATTTCAAGAAAGCTGGCTTTGTTGAGACTTGTATGATAATTGAGATCTCTTGGTAATCTCATTTGGAAAGCATACTGTAATGTTATTGGTATATTTGCAATTATCTTTGTTTAAGCTGAAGCCGAATTACTCTCAGAACCATTTATGCCGGGAATTTATTTGCTTTCATCATGGCAGAGTTTATTTTCTTCCACATATGTCCATCTAGATATGGTCATTTAGCAAAATTTAACTTAGTCTGCCACTCACTGTGAATTCCACTGTGTGGATGTCTGGTTGTTGTAGATGATGTTAGTGGTAACTGCTTTTTTTGTTTTCAATATCTACTTGCTGCTGTCTTTAATCCAAATATCCCTTCCTGACACATTAAAGCTTTACTCTAAAATCTGCGTGGATTTACCACAGACGCATGTCAACTGTTACTTTATTAGCTGGATGCTTTCTGATGTAATGGTAGCACAATATTCTTCTCCTTCTGTTTGTCACCAGGTCAAGCAGGAACTGACTGAGGAGTATGAACAAGTGAAAGGCATCATGGCGACGCTCGAGAGCTTCAAGTCAGAGAAGCCGATCGACATCCTCGCTCCTCAGCCTGAGGAGAAACCTGAGGATCCAGCAGTTTGGCCTCCACCAATCCCTGCAGAGCACAGGTATGTGTGTGTGTGTGTACGATCCATCTTCATACATACATCTTCACTCCATGGAACTTTTTTTCTACCTTTTCTACAGTTCGTCTAAACATATAGGTACATTTTTTTATTGTTGTTGTATAAAACATTCATTGAGGTATTTGTATGACCACATTAGGTAGTGTTTATTTATTGTTGTAGCAAGCGTGTTGTGCTATGTTCTTGCAGAGTTTTAAAACTACACCCCACCCCACCAATGTTGATTCCTAAATTTTATGTAGTGTTTACATGAATAAACTTAATGAAAGATTAGGATGATTTGTGTATTAATATTTTATTGTCACACACATTTGAAATTCTCTGATTGAAGATATTTTCCGGCAGATCCATTTCATATTATACTGCATATCAATACACCGAGAGATAAACGCTGTTGATATGTTGAGGGGTGTTATTTCATTCATCTGTTACTAAAGATCTGGTGATATAAAGACAACAGTATGTTATTATTTTGGCATCTTTAGATTCCTCAAATTCCTGTTCAGCTGCCAACTGTGATCCCGATGATTCTTTTTTTTGAGGTTCTGAGTGGCAGTTTTGGCAGAACTGATTTGTAATGGTGCTACCCTGAAACTCTGCGGGACAAAACAGCTCTATAAGGAAGCACTCTGAAGTACAAAGAGATATATTTTGCATAATCAGTTTAATCTCTACCTGCACAATGTGACTCGCCAAGCTTTACCTTCACATAGAAATAGCAGAACAGGTTTACATGAAGGCCACTCTGTGGGAGCGTTTGGCATGCGATGGTATTACTGCTGTTTCCCCATTGCAAAATGATCTTTGATGTTTCTGTCTGTAGGTGTGTTGTACAATTATGCAGCTGCAGAGCTTTATTCCTGTGTGTCTCTGTAGGAATCCAATTCCAGTGAAGCGGCCCAACAGTGGGATGAAGCAGCAGAGGAAGGAATCCCCTGGTCTGCAGCATCGAGGAGCAGGACCAGGAGGCCGCGGTCAAGCTAATCCTAAAGCAGACCGGCCAGGATTCAGAGAGGCCCGGGGCACAAAGTCCAAAGATGATAAGGTAAGACTACAGCAGGTGATAGGTGGTTGAGTGGACAGATAAATGAAAACGTGAGGTCCTTAATAAATGAGTCACTCTGTCCTCAAAAAACACCTGTTTCGTTGTATTAACTTTCTTCCTTCTTTTTTCCTCATCAGGGAAAGAAACCGTCTGGAGATGTACAGGGGGATGTAGAGCAGAAGAAGTTTGATGGCACAGGATATGACAGTGACTTAGTGGACTCACTGGAGAGAGATATTGTGTCCCGTAACCCTAACGTACACTGGTATGGTAGCATGCACTGATTCTGTATGACAGTGCTTTATATGTTTTGCCACTAGGGCAGATTTTCTCAGTGCACGTGACCGATTTTTTTTTTTTTCTCTGCGAACTGCAGGGATGACATTGCTGATCTGGAGGATGCAAAGAAGCTGCTGAGAGAAGCAGTGGTGTTGCCCATGTGGATGCCTGATTTCTTTAAGGGCATTCGTCGCCCTTGGAAGGTACGCACGCACACACACACACACACCAATGTCATTGCTCATATAGTCACTATGTGCAAAGCTCTAGGTGTGTTTTTGTTTTTGAATGTGTTTTGCTGCCATATTGCCTTATACTGTTGTAACACACTCACCACCTTAAGCTGAACGCTTTGCACCACCTAAATTAAATTTTGAGTGTTCAATTTTTTTATTTTTTTTAAACTGCTATATTATGACAAGTACACAAATCGTTGTTCAGGTGCACCAACCCACCTGACTGGCAACTCAAGTCACTGTAGTACAGGAATGTTTTCTTTATGGATATTTCCAAAATTTTTCAGTGGCTCTTTGGTAAGAATGAAGGGCACTGTGTTGGTACTTGAGAGCTGTTCCTTTTGTTTCCCACAATTTTCCACAGGTTGAGAATTATTTGTGGTGATTGGTGGTGCGGTGCGTCGCTGATGTGCATGCAGAAACTCATGCGCTTTAGAGGGGATGGGTATAACCCAGGTTACTTTCTGTAGCTATAGTTTACAGATGTAAGCCGAATACCTCATATGCAGACTGATTGGTAGACGTGATTGGAATGAGCTGCACTGCTTTATCTGGAAAGCACAATGGCCTATGGGGGAATCTCTTGACACTTGGCCAATGGTGTAACTGCATCAATCAGTCAGACAGGGGCAGACATTCAGGTTTATCGGCGCTGACCTGCTGTTGGAGTCCTGCCAAAAAGAACAGAACCTGAAGATTCTTTCGAAATTCGTTTTTGTGTTACTTCTGTAGTCAAAATACTGTAGCAGAGAGTAACTTTATGGTGCATCATTTATTAACATGGAAGAGGAAAACTGGTGACAGTAATCTATTACGGTAGCCCAGTGGTCCAATAATTCAATGATAAATAATCTCCACGGTTTAGTTCTGGCTGCAGTCCTATTTTGCACTTCTCCTCTTGTTTCCCTTGTTTCCTGTCTATTTCATCTGCTTTCCATTAAGGCAAAATGCCACGATAGGAAGGAATTAAAACTGAGAAGTATTGAATGTAAATATGTTAAAACTAGCCGATACACCAACAGTATATATGTTAGAACCCATGTTTGTTGCTGACCTATTAAGCCTAAGATCACCTATCATATCTGCTCTGACACTAGGTTTCCAACTAAATTCAACTAAATAGTTTCAAGTGAATGCAGCATAAAATCATATAAGTAATGTCTCTCTCAACTATAGCAAGTAATGAATGACTTGCACCTGCTCATGAACATGTGGATTTTAAGATCAGTCTATGATGTACCTACTTGTATGGTTCAACCTGTTTTTACAAGGATATAATACGAGTGCTTCTTGGTGTCTGATGACGCTGCTGAATGACCTGTCAGGGAGTTTTCTTTTGTATCAGCCTCTGTTGAACTTCATCATGTGAGGCCTCTTCCCCTTCAGGCTCACCATGTGAGGGTCAATACTTCAACAGCAGCACAGTGCTTTTCCTTTGTCTGATATATGCATGCATAATTGAGCTTTTACCTCACTTTAAATAGAATGCAGCGCCCATTTTTTCACATAACTGAAAATGCAGTAAAATGAAGGACTATTAGTTTAGAAAAAAGACATTTAAAATTCATGACCGTTTTATTGGCGCACAGGTCGACTGGAGGTGTGCGATTCATTAGCACTGACATTTAGTCATATAGGTCTGTTTCGTCAGTCCTCCTCTGCAGGATTTCTGCCTATCACATCTACTCCCACCTCCTCCTGCTGAGATTCTGATAAATCCCGTCCGCATAAGTGTTTTATATTAAAAATCTGAGTGATCCATTCTACGTGAAATATACGACGCGTTAGTCTAAATGGAGTCTGAGGCGCTAGGGAGGACAATTTCTTTAAAATGTAATGGATTATGTCACTGTCCTTCCCCTTGTGGGTCATGCAATCTCCATAGCAACAGACACAAACCAGATACATAAATGCGACACATCAGAGCAGCAGCGATAGCAATAATGGTTACAGAAGAGATTTGCATCAGGGTTCGGCAGTTTTGTCTAATATCATGGACACTTAGACCCAATATTTGTAACAGATTACACAAAAAGACGAAAGTGACAATGTGACAAAGTAAACTGTTTATTTGGTCGGTGCAGGGCAGTTTATTGGATTCGGAAGGCAATCCATTTTTATGCTTTAAGAAAATATCCTCGAGCCCTTCTAACATTAAATCTCTCCCAATAAAAATGAGCCTGAGACTTGCTGGTTAATTGATTTTTTTACATTTAGACGGAGCCAGTCTGGGCTGTTACTCTTATTTCCTGTCTTTGTGCTAAACCACCTTCATATTTAATGTGGTATCGATCTTCTTTTTCTCACAGACAAGAAAAATACTGAGTATATTTCCCCAAAATAAAGGGAACTCTCAAAGAAATGTCAACTTGGGGCCACATACTGATGTAATATGCTCACTAATAATTGGTAATAGGGTGATAAGGTGAATACTGATAGCGACAGATAATAGTTTTGCCTGTTTTTTTGTTTATGTCATTCTCCCATAATCCCTGAATTTTTATTTAAGTGCCTAATGAGTTCCATTTTTTCTTAGGGTGTGTTAATGGTCGGCCCTCCAGGGACTGGCAAGACCATGTTAGCCAAAGCTGTGGCCACAGAATGTGGGACAACTTTCTTCAACGTGTCCTCCTCCACGCTCACCTCCAAATACAGGGGCGAGTCTGAAAAACTTGTTCGTCTGCTCTTTGAAATGGTAAGTGTGTGTGTGCAGATGGGTATATGGGCCAACTGCGGCTCTTGCCGTGGGCAAAACACCGAACCCTTGCACTGTAGCTCACTGCCATCAGTGTGTGTATGATTGAATGGGTGAATGAGAGTTAAATTGTAAAGCACTTTGCATAAAAGCACTACAGAAGAATGCAGCCATTTATATGTGTGCGCTCTGTAATAAGAAAGAAACTCAACTCTTTTTTTTTTTTTTTCTCAGGCCAGATTTTATGCACCAACAACCATCTTCATAGATGAGATTGACTCCATCTGTGGAAGGAGAGGAACATCTGATGAACACGAAGCCAGCCGGAGGGTCAAATCAGAACTTCTGATTCAGATGGATGGTTAGTTGAACAGAGAAATGGGAAGGTGATGCTGTGGTGTGGGGTTAATCCAAAAAATGGTAAACATGTTAGCAAAAATCAAATTTAAAACAGGTGCAGTGATGCTTTTCTTATTGGCTTTGCCCCCCTTTTTCAACAAAATATGTGTTTGGGATGAGAGATACTTCATTATTGTATTGACTGTAGAAAGAGTCTTTATTTACCTTGTCTGGTAATTTATCCAAGAGAAAATACTGGATTTGACATGAATTTCACAGCAATATTAATATAATTTAATCATGGTTTTGTGTGGTTTCCTGACCAGGTGTGGGGGGAGCCCTAGAGAATGATGACCCCTCTAAGATGGTGATGGTCCTGGCAGCTACAAACTTCCCCTGGGACATCGACGAGGCGCTGCGACGGCGGCTGGAGAAGCGGATCTACATCCCCCTGCCCACAGGTGACCTCACCAGCCGCAGACTGAGAGCACAGCAGTCTGACAGAGGCTGCTGTTACACAACAGCTCAAACCAGTTTCTGATAAGCGTAATTAATATCGACTCACATGGTGTAATATCTGATTAATGCCGTTTTATCTGTGTGTATGCAGCTGTGGGTCGTGTCGAGCTTCTAAAGATCAACCTGAGGGAGGTGGAGGTGGCTGATGACGTGGATCTGGATCTCATCGCAGAGAAGATTGAGGGCTACTCTGGAGCTGACATCACCAACGTCTGCAGGTGTGTGTAGTTGTGCGAAACCACAAAATTTAGAAATTGATTGTCAGTCTATTATCGGATGATCTTTTATCCCCTTTATACTGAAGGCAGTGAAGCAGTGAAGGCCATGAATCCATTGCTTTAGTATATTTTCACAGAAATTATAAAAAGATTCATATCACCACACATTAATATTGGTGGAATCCATCCAATATATAGTAATATAAATGAGATGACAGTCCTATGTGGTCTGACTTGAGCTATTGAAAAACTCATCTCCGATTTTTATTTTTTTTTTAAATCAAGCAGCACTCATAAAGACAGAGACTTTTGGCTGTGTAAAAGGATTTTCAAAGATTTCCAGAGGCAGCAAAGCAAAGAGACAGTCTCAGCCCTTCTGACAAATTTAACTTTTGAGAATAACAGGAACAAGCCACAAATCTATGTGCATGATTTTTTTAACTGGGTTTTTACATGTCAACTAAACTGCTCGGCTATCTATAGATTGTGTTCCACGTGATGGTACTGTATTAAATCAAATTTCATCCTGTGATGTTGTCATATACGTAGGGTACATAGGGTTTCAGAGAAACTTTCTTCATATATATATTTTTTTCCATCAGAGATGTATCAATGGCAGTATTGAAGGTGAAAAAAAATATATACTAGAATATACTGTATGTGAATGCAGATGCAGTATATATAGCTGCAGGGGTAGACTATGTGCTTTGTGCTAAAGAGACTAATTACATGTCTTTATCAGCAGGTTTACATTTGTTTGCATTTGTCCTTGAAGCTGAATCACTGACAATGTGAAGTTTCCAGGCATACATAAGGAAAGCCTGATCAGTATGAAGATTCATTGACTGCATGCACAGAAATATCTCTTGGTGTAAGGTGTGGGGCATTTGGATGATTATGTTATTTCAGTGAAGGTTCAATTCAATTCAATTTTATTTGTATAGCGCACATTTACAACAACAAGTCATCTCATAGCGCTTAACAAAGGCAGAAACATCCAACAATCCAAAGCATTTGGATTCCCTATAAGCTTCAGCAGTGAGCACGACAGGATATTTGGAAAAGTGTTTTATTCTCCTGTATCAAATTGAAAATGTGCATACATAAGTCTGTAAGCACATAAAAATATTAAAATTTGTGTCTTAGGTCAGTTGACTTTTGTGTTCCAAAGGCATCCAACATTTAAATTACCACTTTTTATCTACTGTGTAGTGTGTAGTAGCCCTTTGAACTTACAGGATCAAAGTATTTAGTCTCCATAGATTTCCAAAATAGCTGTGTCCAGTCTGACCGCCTTGAAAAACCCACTTACTTTGGCTTCTCAAAACTCAGAGGTCCCCGCCGTGTTCTGTCATTCTCATTTCAGTATTTCAGTATAACCACTAATCAACCAAGCAACATTAGCTGCTACTAATCAGCTTCAACTCTGTACATAATCAGGTCGATTAGGTCACGTTTCTCTGTCTGTTGTCGTCCTTGGATGTGTTCATATCAGTCTTTTCAGGATTGTTTTGACGACCTTGGCTCACACACACTAGAACATAAGCTCTGGTATATATTCGGAAAGTACTTCATCATTACCGTGTGATATACACCATAGTATACATAGAACACATAAAGAACGAGTGATTATCAGAATTTGTTTGTCTGCTTTATGTCATTTCTAATTGCAATATAATAGATGTTTTCGTGTTCTTCTAAAAGCTCTGTCCTTGATGTGAGGATCCATTTTACCGAGCTATGCTAGGAACGGAAGGTATTCTATGCTGCCAAAGTTGTCTCTGACGTCTGTGACTCACATTGTTTCATTGACCTTGGATGTGTGTATCCTCCACATAGCGAAGGTAGCCTGCAGGAGTTCATCACAGCCTCGACTTCATCCTTCCAGACAGGAGTAAAACTCTTCAAATATAGAATTTAAAACAGTGGAATTAAATTTTTTGTTATGAGCGATGAGTAACCTCCTCCTCTCCCACGCTCCTCTCTGCTCCTGTCTTTACATGTACGTCAGGGATGCGTCCATGATGGCAATGCGCCGTCGAATCCAAGGCCTGAGCCCCGAGGAGATCCGAGCTCTGTCCAAAGATGAGCTGCAGATGCCCGTGACCATGGAGGACTTCACCCTCACGCTCAAGAAGATCTCAAAGTCCGTCTCTGCCGCAGACCTGGAAAAATACGAAGCCTGGATGGCTGAGTTCGGGTCAGTATAGAGAGCGGTGGCGATCGGAACCCAGAGGGACCAGAACCTTGAAAGGAGGACTGACAGCTTTGAAAATGTTGAAAGGCTTGAAGAGGAGGAGTTGAGTGAACTCTAGCATGTGAACCAGGCAGCACATCAGGGATCAAGATTACACAGGAGCTCAAGTTCACATCAGAAGACTGGTGCCTTTGAGAGAACATGATGAAAACTTTCAGTGGCTTCACCGCTGCTCTTTCACCGTTGCTTCAACACAACTGTACGTGTAAAGATGTCAATCATAAAGCTGCTGACTGAGTTAAGTGACCTGAGGAAGACACAGGGAACTTTTAATGTAAAAAGTAGCCTAATACACACAGGTAGGGAATGTACTCTCGTTTCAGTTAGGCCTCATGCAGGAACACTTTTTTTTTTCCTTAACCCCTCCTTGCTTTTTTCAATGTATGAAGTAGGTGTAGGTTAGCGAGATTTAATCGTGGATCATCAGCATCGATAAAAAATTCTACAAAACCATTCTGCTCAGTTTGTGGGCAAGTTTCCTTCAAAACAATCTGAGAAAAAAAGAAAGAGTTTACACATAATTTATGACTTTTAGCAGTGTATGCAGTCATAATAAAAGACCTGAGACGATTTATAAGTCTTAACACAGGGATGGAGGAGGCTCATTTGGACTGTTGCCTTCATGAAAATCATGAGGAGCCAACTGGTGTGAAAGATGCTTCCCAACAAATACTAAATTGTTTCGGTTGCCATGCCAAAATGTGGCACGAGCTCTCACAAAAAATGTGCCGAACCTGTCGTTAAACACAATGATGATGATGTGGAAGACGCAGTGTAAATTCTTCCTGCTGCAAATTAATTCAGATCAAAGAGTCACATCCAGAACTTCTCTGCACGAGCTGTTTGAGACATCTGGACTTCTTATGAATTTCATTCAAATACGGGACAAGTTCTCCTAAATCACTTGCATATGCCACTTATGAACAAATCTGTTCTTGCATGAGGCCTTTCGTCTCTCCATGTGAGCACTTTTAATGTATTTCCTTCAGAAGCCTATGTATTTACTACTGACTGAACACACTTGAATTGAACAGTGATGTTGTTGTTGTATAGTGACTGATTATGTGTTTGTTTGTATTTCGTTGGTTTTAATATTTGTTTTCCGTTTTAGTTCTGTTGAGACAAACAAATGTAGTCTGCCCAAAAAAGACGCGACCACTGGACTTGTGGATTTTTTTTATTAAAGGGTACGCTTAATTCCCACCCAGAACCTCACCTGCTTAATTTTTTTATCAAACTGCTTGAACTGTGTCAGGTTGTGTCTTGCATTTAAGGAGACGGCGTGTTTACCTGAAATTCTGCAGTTTTGAGGATCATTAACCGAGTCGCACTGCACATGGAGAATGAAGGTGAGTTGTTCTTTGATCCTCCTCTTTTTACTTAATTTTAGACTGTTTCAAGCTTCAAAGTTGCATCAAAAGGAACCAGCTGAGGTGGTTCAGGCGTCTGATGTGTGGAGGCTTTTCAGGCTTGTTCGTCTGTAAGGAGACCGTGAGGTTGACCCAGAACTCACAGGAAGTATCACATATCTCATCAGACCTGGAAACACCTCAGGATTCCCAGGAGGAGCTGGAAAACATTGCCAGAGAGGGATACCTGGAATGGCCTGTTAAGCTTGCTGCCGCTACAATACAACCCCCGGTGAGTGGATGGAGATAGATGGATAAATTAAAACTTAATTCATTAAAATACGAATAACCAATAAATTACTATCATGCTGATTACACTTGATGTTACATACCTGCGAAATTAGCCTGATTCTGAGATTATTGAAGCACTTATAGTGGTATGAAATTGAATTTATGGACTTTGTTGAGTTTTTAGCCACACCACATTGTTTGCTCAACAGAGATAGATCTGTCAACATTTGAGGAATGAACTTAAACTGTCACTTAACACAAATCTTAAAATTGCGATGCATGACAGCTACTGAAACTGCCATCAAACCGAACCACCTGCATTACCTGCATTGCATTACATGAAGACTGTGAGACAGACTGAAAAGCTCAGGAAAAAAAAGCTTGTAAGTTGAATCTGATAAAGGTCCATTTTGTATAACTGTTGAAATATGACCTCGGCTTTGACCTGAGGAAAAACTTTTAGTGAAATGATTGATTCCTGGCAGCAAGATCAGTACCTCTGCTGTAGAATAATGCGAAATATTCACTCTAAATGCTGTTTTCTAATAAACCATCATACGTGTTGTTTGATCCCGAATCCCAACACTGAACAGAATGTTTTAAAAATCCTCTAAAATTGCTAAAGAAGGAATGAATAATATCCACACACTACAATGCTCTCTTAAGTTATGGGCATGCAGCAGCTCGCAGTGCAAATGTTTAGGAGTCAAACTGACCAAAACAATGTGCAGATTTGTTTGTAGAAAACTTTTCACATCAGTCTGTTGCATCTTCCTGACT